AACTCTTAATTTGCTCCAATATCAAAGAAACCTCTCTTCATAAATTATAATCAGCATTGTCCCAGTGGCGGTACGGTGCCTAGTTCAGTAAAGTTTTTATCCCACTGCCAAATTACAAGAACTTTTGAAAATGGAGTGTAGCAGCACCAGCCTTAAGCTATATCCTTTTAAAAATGTATACTCAGTTTGGTAGCACTGATGAAAGGTAAAAATTTAATCAGTGACAAAAGACTAGAAATACTTGTCTTCACGATAAGTCGATAAACATGCTATTTTTCGCCTGCAATCACATCATTAAACTTAGTCCTTCTGCATTCTCTGCAACCCTGCTGGCATATAATGCAGAAAATTGTTGGTATCTATTGAACCTAGACATTTGGCTTACACATCAACAATAATACCATGGTCATCTATATTCTACAGCAGGAGGACAGAACAGCATATACCACTGCTTAGGATACTCTTCAATTACCCAAGTAAACCACATCCTTTTTCTAATAAATACAGCCCAGTATATTGTTCTAATAAAGCCAGATAAAAACAACTCGGCATAGCCAAGGCACCCTGCAACTTGCTTCCCTGGAAACCTGAAAACTGCTTAAGTGACTTAAGCTCTGGTATATGGCTGTATTAAAATATATTTTTTTAAGGAGTCCCGGAAACTACTTCCAAGGATGAAACAGAGCCCGGGAAACCTGAAAACTGCTTAAGTGACTTCATCTCCCCCTTTTTGCTCTGGTATATGGCTATATTAAAATATATTTTTTTAAGGAGTCCTGGAAACTACTTCCAAGGATGAAACAGAGCCCGCTAATTTATAAAGACTTGCCTCAGTTTATAGCAGGTATTTCTGACATTCAGAAGGTGGTTATTTAATAGCCCACTTGTTTGCTTTAGTCTCTGGTTTTGCGCTAAGCTCTATTCTATGCAACAGTTCAAGCGTGTTCCAGAACAGCTACTACATGAAGAAACACTACAGACAGAGTCAATTTTATGTATTAATCTTTAATTAACACCATCAGAGTAACTATAATTTCGTAGCTACAGTACTAGACTAGCTATGAAAAGTCTTCATTCTAATCCCAGATAAGCACTGTTCCGCTATGCACTTCTCTTAAGGTGGGGGTATGTGTGGAAATACCCCTTTAAGATCTCATTTTTGTTACCTTTTGACTGCCATACGTATTTATTTTTGCAGTACTTGTAGCAGTAGTGCTCCCTTCACACTGGCTCTGTAGCACTGGGTGAGCAGCCCAACTGCTAATTGCAATTAACAGAAAAATAAACATCATCCAACCTATCTCAAGACAGTTTTACATTTTGGTGTTTCTGTAACACACTCAGAAACCTTACAGATACATTAAAAAGAGGCAGCCTTTGGCAAGGAATAATAAAAGCACACAAAATATTTTCAACAAAAACATTATAACCCATCTTTGAGCAATCTCACTCACTCCCACAATTGCTATGCAATCCCCAGGCTGATGACATTATGAACCTGTTTTCTTGTTGGCTTTTTTCCAAGACATCCCACTGTACATCTTGGCTAGCCTCTCCAAAATGGATATTCCCTAGTTAACAGTGGCACGATGCAGCCAAAACAAGACTCATCCTTCTTCCATTAAGCCCTGTCACCTCCCTGTCAAGCAGCCTTAGATGAGCACTCATTCTAGTCTCTCCTACATGCCCCAGATACACGGTGTGACAAATCTTGCTGCTTTCCCTCTGCAACCACAACATCTCTAGAATCTATTCTGATAGTGGAAGTTATTTTTCTTAACCTTATCTCTTTCTCAAGAGTCCCTCATGCTAATATTCCCTTCCTCACCCAAAATACTATCACCACCATTAGGCTCTTAAGCCTGCCATTGTGGGACACATACCTTTATTTCTCCAGACCGGTTCCTGACTCAATCAGCATTTGCAAACCAAAAAGGCAAACATATTCTACTTAAAGTGATTTTGCATAACACACGCAATCCAGCTGCTTCAGCTTTTATCTTCCCTTTGTCACCACTGAAGTTTGTTCTCTAGGAATGCACAGCTCAATAGGACTGAGGTTAAAGCAGAGCAATTCCCTAGTTCTCAAGGAGTGTCTTATCACTGTCTGTCTGCATACCAGGACAACAAAATCCTCTACTTCTCATGCAACCAGCTTGCCCCAGGCTTGTTTCTGCATTCAGAGATTTGGCTCTCCTTCCCAATGGTAGATAAAACACTCCCCAAAGGCAAAGCTTCTTAGTATGCACTTTGCTCTTTGATCTCAGAAGCAGCTGGTGCACAGCTGCTCCCCCGTTACTTTTGCAGATTTCAGGAACCTTTTTGATTTTCCTGCCCGCCCTCACAGACAGATGCAAAGGGCATGAACACCACCAGCAGCCATCTTTCATTCTCATGCAAAAACTTGTATTTCCATCTCACGTGCCCTGCCCGATTCTTCCTTGAATTACTACCCACCTGACCCAGTCCCAGCTCTTCCCTCCCAACCTGTTCCCCAAGCATGTGAGCAATGCCTTTCTGCCCCTTATCTCAGCAAGTCTTCCCTCGTGTTTGGGCGGGAGATAAGAGTACCTGCAGCCGGCAGGGACCAGGCTGCTGTTCCTCATCCCAGGAAAATCTTCTCTCAGGTCACAGTTGTTTGCAGGTGGTGAGAAAGAAGTCAATTCTAGTCCCATTTCTCTTCTGTACAACTACAAAGCCCAGCAGGCAGAGGAGAGCTTCCCTCCTGCGAGGCAGGCACACTATCAGACCTTGCTAGGAAAGTGTGAATCTGCTTTAAAAGGGTGTCATCTCACAGAGTCTAACAGCAGACCAACTGCAGTGACTACTAACAGCAAAAGATTTTCAATGATACTTTGTACAGGTTTAAAGAAAATGGAGAAAAGTCAGAAACAGACTCAGCATCCCAAGTGGCAAGATCCAAATTTTTTTTCCTTTCCCTAGCTAAAGAAGTAATTTGAATCAACCACCAGAAGACAACTAGGGATTATAGGAGGCAGCATAGCCAAATGACTCTGCCTGTAACTGCATTTTGAGAAATACTTACAGCCCCTTGCCTACTCAGTAGCAGGCAAAGGGAACTGCTGACCAATCTGATGAGATTTCCCTAGATATCCATAAAAGATTAACCTTAACACTCACTGGAGAACTGATAGAGCTGAAATACCTGCTTCTCTGCTTGCCCTCCAGGTTCTTTGTGAGGCTATCACTGTGTATCCATCAGCACATCTGCAGCAGCTACTTCATCAACCATCCCAAGGTGCTCTGCAACCAGGTGCCATTTGGAAAAATCGCTTCACCTGGTCCTACTGCTGCCATTTCAGAGCCAAGGCAAATAGCTGCTGTACTCCTGCTGGGAGAACTACTAAGCATATGCATAAGACTTCACTCCTTTCTCTCAGTTATTAAGGGAAATCAACCCACCATTACAAGATTCTTACTTCCAGATGGCAGTTGGTTTTCTTCCAAGCAGTGTGTATTACACTTGTTCATGTGCATAGATACACATTATGGGGGAAAAGGTTAGTTTTACTAGAATCTGACAGAAAGATGAGTGCATTCACTGGAGCAGCAACAAACTTCATCCAACTTTTCATAAAGTTTTAAAATTTTTTACTTGGTATTGGAACTGTTCTTGCAGCTGTAACTTCTGGGAAAACCCCACGCTTTTGAGAGACCTTATGATCAAGGTGAAAAAGACACTTCTGATACTAGTCTCTTTTGTTAAAGTGGACACAACATGACCCACCAACAGACAATTTCAAAACCAAGCGTTAGCCAACAATTGAAGCCAACTGCACCAATGCATAGTAATGAAACATGTTTGAGCCAGTCATGTTACGCATTTACTAGTCAAATGTCAAGCCAAGAACTCTCTTGACACTCTTGTCCATTTAGTTTGTGATCGTTTGAGTCTATGTTTGTACATGTGACTAGGTGGCGCTTCTGTTTTGTGAGAAACATCTCATGGCAGGATAATTCTGAAAGACAACTCTTTTCACTGAAAAGAGCAAACATACAGATAAAAAAACTGCTTCGCATGGGCTTTCTGCTTTACTGCACCACTTACCCTGACAGATATTTGCTCTACAGCTATGCTCTCCCTTCCACTACCAACCTCTTGCTCCATCAAATTAAAAACTTTCACTTTAACACTGCACTGATACTTTAATCATACATACCCACTCCATGAACCAAAAACCAATACCCTTTCCCCTTTTGCCCCAGCCACCATCCAAGCTTTCACGGATTTCAACAGGAGCTAACCTGGATTCTTTATAGCTGCCTACACTCTGAGCATTACTTTATTGTTAACAAAACCTGTTTCACTTCAGCTGCATTATTTGAGGGTATGTCCATAGCCTTCTTCCCAGAAACATGTCTGCAGTAAAGTGACAGTAAAGTCTTGCCTCCATGAGTTGTCCTGCAAGCACAAACCAGAAGCTACTTTTAAAAGTAGGTATTTTAGGGGAAGGGGGTGTAGGTCAATTAAAAAAACAAGCAGCATTTTACATCACTGTTTCTGATAGCCAACTGTAAACTTCAAAATCTAATGTTCAACGGATGTTACTCCCACTGTCACGTACCTCCAGCTCACCTTTTTCCTCCCCCACAAATCACAAACACATCTCCTTTTTTATTTAATTTGCCAGTATGTAGGCTGAAATGTCTTAAACATGAATTTGAAGGTTTTACAGATCTTTAATGCAAAGAAAGAAAATGCTAAATCCCAAAATGAGCTTTCGTCCTGAATATTTTAGCTAGTAACCTGTAAAACTAACTTTCAAATTCCAAAGTTAGACCTGAATAAAAGGAAGTCACCTGCAGTCAATTCCTGAGAACTTAAACTCTCAAAAACATATCTTTTTCTTAAAGCTAGAATTGTGAAGTCTTTCAGAAGGCACTGTATGACAGTGAAGAAACAAAGATCCATTCCTTCCATTGTAGGTCATCCTTTAAGGGCTATAAATGATGGAAAAACATATACAGCCTCTTAGTACTTCAACTGTTGCCTAATTACTTTTATAAAAACTTTCTTAATAGGTTTGTATACAGTAACATGGGTTCATTTGAAAACTTCTTCTGTAGCCATAGCTTTAAGGAGGACAGTCATCATGAGTTCCTACAGCCATCTGAAGCCAGTAGTCCAGGTTTCTAAAAATGACAAAGTTGTACAAGTTCTCTCCTCCCTTGTGGAAACCATGCTCACTTTCTCTCCAGGAAACAGGGCTGTCTGCAAAGCCATGCACAGTTAAGGTCAGCCAACTTGCCAGTTTTGGTTCACCAAAATAGCAACTGCAAGGAAGAAGACAAGGTAATCAATAATTAAAAGGGAATAGACAACATGTTCAAGTATACCATACAAAGTAAAAATAAAAATATAAAAAAATAAATCAAAGATGCAAACACTTAAGTGAAAATTCAGTGAGACAGGAAAACCTGCTTTTGTGCATAATTAATAAATTCAAAGGAAAGTATTACATCAGATGGTATTAGGAAATGAAATAAAATTAACTCTCAATTACTTCTACCATACTTTAAGACAGGGCAAACCTTCAAGTTACAGTAACTAGAAAAAGTTCTAAGTAGTAAAGCAGCCATTCTGAATTTCCTACAGCATGCATTGTCTTTCAGAAAACAGAACATTTACTGAGAACAGTCACTATCAGAGAAAAAAGACACAGGAGGAAGCAACATGATCAGGATATGCTTGACACAAATACTTTTACCACCAGAAAGGAAATGGATAACAAATAATCAAAGCCAGACATTATCCACTGCTCTTAAGTAAAGTGTAAAAGCCAAGGAAATTTCTGTTCCAACTCGAGCCTAGGGAGGCTTTCTGCGTGAGATCTGAAAATTGCTCAAAGAGCAAGGATCATATTGCAGATAAAGCAACAGCAATACTGTCATGAGTCAGCCCTACAATCAGTAGCCAACAGGCACTTCAAGAATTGTCTTGCACATGGAGCTTTCAGAATTTGCTCTCAGTAGCATTAATATACAATAAAGGCATGTACCACAATGATCCATGATACGTTAGTATCATGTATTGAATCAGAACTATAGCTACCTCAACCATGTTATGACACTTGATTAAAAAACCTCACTCTAGCAATTTATCATAATGCTGTCATAACCTTGAAGTTCCTTGCAATAATCTTTTTAATAGCATAAAGGGATTTCAATCATATTTTCCCCATCAGTAGCTAAAAATACTAAATTAGACTTATTTGAGGGCATCTGCTTTTCATAGACAGGGGAATTTAAAAAATGAAGGAGCTCAGTAGAGCCATTGTTTCTTAAAAATGAAGAGAAAAAGCAAACTCATTACTAGAATACAGAGCAGGAATTTTCAGACTTAAAGTATTCAAATTTGTTTATTACTTTCGTATACCAATGTTAAGCTTCCAACTCATTTCCTAATTAAAAAAAATATTCACTTTAATATTTTGCTATTTACCTCCAACAGCACTACTGAAAAGAAGTATTTAAAAGTGATTTCAAAAAATTAAAAAGTGTTAAGAGTGCAAGTTTTTTTAGTGGTGTACTCCTGTCAGCCCTTACCACAGCTGCTCCAATAACTGAATTATCTTCTCAGGAATTATAAAGCCTGTGATTGTGCACAAAAAAGCTTTTTCCACAACTGTGCTGGGTTGAGGACAGCAGTAGGTTGATAAGAAGCTAGAAGACTTGTTGTCTCTGGAAAAAAAAGCACAACAAAAACCAACTAAAGTAAATATACTTTAATCTACAGGAAATCTTAGTAAACAAAACTGGTAGCAAGCTAGTAGTATCTATGAATATAATCTAATTTAAACTGAAGCTTCTAAATGCCAAGCAATTAATACACAAAATGCCATGGTGCTGTGGGTTAACTCTGTCAAGGACCCAGACACCACACAGGCACTCACTCACTTCTCCCAGGTAGGATAAGGAGAGAATTGGAAAACTAGAGAGAGAACATACGGGTTGAGCAAAAGACAATAGGTAAAGCAAAAAGCTGTGGTTGAAAGCAAAGCAAACTAAGGAATTCATTTACTATGTCCCATCCACAGGCCGCCTCCAGAAAAGCACAGTTCTATCATGTGTAACTGTGACTTGGGAAGACAAATGCTGTCACTCTGAACATTTCCCACTCTTCCTTCCCCCATTTTTTATTGCTGAGCACGCTGCCATATTGTGTGGGATGTCTCTCATGTGTGTTGGGGTCTGCTGTAGTGGCTGTGTTCCCTCCCAGCCTCTTGCCCACCCCTAACCTTCTCACTGACAAGGCAGTATGAGAAAGAGAAAATGGTCATCGACACTGTGTAAGCACTGCTCAGCAATAGCTACTACTTCTCACTGTTAGCAATGCTGTTTTGGTCACAAATCCAAAACCCAGCACCACACCAGCTACTAGAAAGAAATTAATTCTATTATAGCCAAAACCAGTACACATGGGTATCCCTAAGAACACAGACAAGTTATTAAAAACTTACAATAAACACTTAAATGCATAGCAATCTTCCTACTTACAGAAAAGAGTCTTTCTTAATTCTTATTTAGCTCTTTCTTAATATAAATTGTGGCTTTCCTTACTTAAAATACATTTAAAGATCAAAAAAATTCACATACTTACAAGCTAACTTGATTCAAGACAGCACCTAGCCATTCAAACAGTTCCTCTGCACTGCAGGACTCCTCTGGCTTTCCTTGTAGTTCATTACTTTGTAATACTGGACACTGCAAGTCTCTTAATGTGCTGAATGTTACTTTTGGCTTCAGGGACTGTATTTGGTTTTTTGAAAAGTATGACATCAATGCTGGTCCCTCTGCACCTTAACAACACAACAACACAGAGAGCTGTTACAAAACTAATAGAAGCAGCACTGAATACATTCATCCTTTGCATATGTACACAGGAAAATGCAGTGTGTGAAACCGCTTACATCCCATTATCTTTGGCAAAAGCCAGAGAATCTTCAGATTCCTTATCATCTTGGAAATAAAAATTAGTGCAAGATTCAGCAACTCAGCATAGCTCCGTAAATTTATTATTTAACTAGTAACTGTAGATCTATCAATAGAAAACTCAAGCAGAATTAACAGAACAAGTAATGAAATGAACTCATTAGAAAGAGGAATTCAGACTGGTCCTGTAAAGGAACAAGTGAAAGGTAACAGGAACACATGTTAACTGCTCCCCAAGATAAAGAGGTCTGCAGATGCACTCATGCCATAAGACTACCCATAACTATATACATGAGGTCAGAGATCATTTTTCCTTGCTAGTGCCCATATATATGTTCCCTTCATGCTCATGGGGTACTTGCTGCTTTAGAAGGGTAAACATGCCTTATACCATTAGGTTACTGCTAGCTCAACCTCTGTATGTTCCCTTCATGCTCATGGAGAGGTACTTGCTGCTTTAGAAGGGTAATCATGCCGTATACCATTAGGTTACTGCTAGCTCAACCTCTCTAGAAATCCTTCAGGCATTGCTATTTGAGAGGGAGAATACTCGTGGTAGATGTACACAAAGATAATGCATCTCTAAGATCAGGTAAAGGGAACTAAGCTCAAATGAACTGAGACAGTATTCCCTCCCAAACTACCAAGTGCCTGGAGAGATCCCAGTATCACTAATTCACTAAGAACTGCCTCCTACAGACAGTATGGCTTCCAGAATCACGAACAACTCCCATGGAATAAATTCCTGTGGATCTCAGGAATAGTTTGCAAAAAGCTGTAGCGTCATTTACATTATCTTGCAATATGCCTTCACAGCTGCAGAAAGTCTCCATTTTTGTTGTCTTCTATCCAGTGTGTCAGGCTAGTGAATCTCCTAGCTCTCTCAGCTGAGGACAAGAACATGCAAGAATAATTCTGAGAGGTCTTATCCCACCACTAAAGACCACATGCTTCATTTTCTATATATGACGGCAAACTCAGGAGCCATAAGGGTTTTGAGACAAATTCTTGATTTACAGTAAATTGAGAAATCATACTCAGATAAGATATATTTGGAAGATTATGATATCCTAGAAAAATACCAAAATCAGTCTCTAAGACTAGAGACTCTCCTACCCATCTGGCTACAGTGTCTGCTATCCCAGAACACCATTTTCCCAAAATAGTGGAAAAGTGAGTAGATTACTGCAGGTTTGAGAACAGATTTATCAGTGATGTCAAGAAGAATTTTAGGATAGTCTGGAGGATAGGTATTGAAGAGAGAGGAAAGAGGGGAGTGTAGAGAAATCAAACTAAATCACAAATCTCACTTTACCAGGATTGGAGAAGAAAAAATCATCGTGATAAGTCTGCAAATGCAGTGTGGCATTAATAGTTAGATGTACCTTCATAATCTTGTGGGAAAGGTCATGCTTCTTCAACTCTAGTAAGTGATCCAAAACAGCAGGTAAAATTCTAAAAACCTAACCTAGACTAAAATCCTAACCTAAGCAGGCATATTGCAAATTAAGATATATTAACCAACTTCCTTTTTGAAGCAGTAAGCTAATTAATGTGGAATGAATTATCTTAAATTTGCAATTCCAGATAATGTATTCTATTATCATAAAGCCAGAATGGGTTTCTAGATGACCAAGAAAAAAATACCTTATTCATGAGAAGTCTGAAATCCACCATGGCATTAAAATAGGAAAGAGAAGAAAAGGGTTTTTTGCCTCTCTCATTAGGCATGAGACATTCCATATTCCTTTTTTTCTGTTCCTCTTGGTGCCAGAACCAGTAAGTGGGAAAAACAGGTATGAAAACTAAAAGATCCTGCTTTTGGAAAGTGACATAAATGTTTACAGGTTTGCAGCAGTGCTAGCCATAGCCAGAAACACCAGCTTCCGATCTTTCACGGAGGACACAGGTTCTCTCAATGAAATACATCCTTCTTTTCCCCTTCCTGCAGAATCTACTCGATGCCTCATGTCTATTAATAAAAATCTGTAAAAGTTCTATGCTTGTCAGTACTAAGGAACTGAGTCTTTCATATGTTATGAGCACAAGATTCCTGCACAGAAAGGCATTCAGATTTAACTCCATATTCAGGAAATTATTGACCTGACCTGGGTTTTGGATGTAAGAAAGTGAGGGAAAGGAATGCTGCTCTTCCTGAATGCTGCTACACTGGCAGCAACAAACATATGAAACATACTAACCCTAGAGGTATTTTTCTCTCTGCCCGCAGTCAATAAATGCAAGTGAGCCAAGTCTGAAGATCTGCCACCTTAGTTCAATTTCTGTCACCATTTATGGTAGCAAGTCTTCACTGTGACTCTTTTCCAAAGACTACAAGGATGGGAATCATAAGCCTTTAAACAATTTCTGTATGACAAAGAAGGGAAGATTCTTGTCATATGATTAGCACTTAAAAAAGGCAACGGGAAACATGAAGGATTAAAGTGAATCACGGGACACTATTAAAAGCTCTTGAAAGAAGCTTTAATTTCTCAGACCAGTAACTCCCTCTCAGACATGGTCTTGAAAACCCAGGCAAGAGTAACAATGTAATGGGCAGCTGGGAAAGCATTCTCAGACACCTAACATCCTTTTGCTAGTGTGGAGACTTCTTAGTGACTCAAAGCAGAACCACACTAAAAGCTACATAGCTACGATGAAGAAAAACATTTTTTGCAGTAGGACTCCTGCAGCTTTTGTCAATTCTATGTAAATACAGCCTGTTCTGAGATAATACAAGCAACTGAGGACGTTGTAAACTGACCCTCAGAAGAACAACACTTAATTTCCAGAAGAAAAATTGATGTAATCAGAAAACAGTAGGTAAATGAATTCTAAAAGAAAGGTGATTTGAGACAATACAATGTCTTAGAATAACAACCTCTCCCTCTTCTCCGATCTTGAGAATAATGTGATAACATAGCAGACTGTGTGTATCAGTGTACATAGTTCAAGACAGAAATCAGGGCTCACCGTGTACACGTCCTAGAACTACTGATAGAACAAAAAGCTCCCCATCTCAAGTACTACACCAAATATGTAACTTATACATATTAACAAGAAAACCTAAAACCAGTGTAGTAAGAACAGTTATGTATGTCACAGATTTATAAAGAAAAGGCAGCACTACCAAATAGATGAAGTTACACTAGAGAGTCTGGGCAACACAGAGACAAGGAAATGAAGCAACTATTACACCTCCTGTGAATCACTGCTGTGTTTCTGAACTGAAACACTCTGGTGTGTAGGAAGTAACACACATCTCTCAAACAAATAAACAAACCCCCCAAAATCCCACCCAAACTGAAGTTATTATGCCTTTTCCCCCCAATAAAAATGCATTTTGACATTGAAACTGAAATGAAAGTACTCGGACTTCATTGTCAGCTATATTTTAGTTTTAGATTTAGATCTTATTACCTGTATTATACCAAGCCAGTAGGAAGTCAAATTCTAAAGGTTTCTTTTCTTTCAAGGCCCAAAGCACTCTGTTATGCTTCTTGCTATCAGGGTGAAAGCCAGAATCAGTCAAGTCAATAGTTATAACTGAAAAAATGTACAAAAACAATTGTGATAAATTTTAACATTAAATTCATCAAGACCTAAAACAAACCCACAATGAAACCAAAGAATGTTACATTTTCTTTTCACATGCACAGCAACGTTGTCTAGTTATTATGCAAATATGCCTCCCCATCATGTAAATAAATATTCATCTCCTGCTGTCCTTATTTTGATATAATCTGGAACTGCCATGTACTGACTGGAGGGACAGACTCCTTTTGTAATGGCAGTGACAGAAGTCCCAAAACAGCACCTTAAAAATACTTTGGTAGTTAGGCAAGCTTTTAGCACTAAAAAATCCAATTTCTCACATGAAAAGTCACATATATGGCAATTACACATTTTTCAACTGTTTTTTTCTAAATCAATCGGTCTCAGGCTAAAGTTACATTTACTTCTCATATGGAAATTCAATCATACATTTTACTTGACAAACTAGATAGTAAAATTATGTCCCATTTTGCCAAAATTATTACAGATAACAGATTTCCCCTTCTAAAGTTTTAAAGTAACTACCTATCTACTGCCAGTTCTAATACATTTGAAATGGTATAGTGTTAATGGTTTTTTTTATTCTTTACCAAAAAAAAAATTACAAAAATCATACTCAGTATGCTTCCCCTACAGCTGTTTAAAAATTGCAACATTTTCCGAGTACTTGGTATATGGAGACTACCATTTTGAATGTGTCAAACATAATACAATTCTGCTTTCAAGAAGTCTTGGGTAAAGCTCTTCACTGATGTGTGATTGGTTGGTTGGGTGGGGTTTTTTTTGTATAATGTGCAAATTTTATGTTCTACCTTAATTAGTTTAGTATTTTCAATTTAAATCAGAAGGCATGAATACTATGCACAGCATAAAAAATTTATTGAGTCCTATATCATTCCAGTATAAACATCACAATGAAAAACCCAGAAAGGAAGAATTTTATTGAATACTCAAAAGATCACACATTTATTTCATTATAACTGCTTCATTATTTGGAAGAGGTATTTTTTCTCTTCATGTAGTCCTTGTATCTGCATCTGGAGAAACACGACCTAGGCAATAACAAATTTTAAGGAAAGGGAAGTTACAGCATTGCTGAGTTTACATCCTAACAGGGCACTTTCACAGACAAATCTGAAATAAGCAGTATTAATATAAATAATACTTACTGTATCTCATTACTTTTTTGCCAGAATACTGAGAAGGGCGACCTTGGAGTCCAAGTTCCTCGTAAGTATCCTTATCCACTGATAGAATTAATTTTCCTGTAAATGAAACAAGCTTTAATAAAAATTATCTCTCTTCAAAGTTTTCTGAGAACTGCATACCTTAGACAATGTTACCTTTGGACAAATGGTATTCCTAATGTAATCCAGACTCCTTAATTTCTGTTAAATGGGTTACCAGATTATCCCTTAAAAAATAAATACTGTAATGGAATTACTCTTTTTTATCAAAAAGGTCTTATGAACTAGAATGAGAAGTGTAATATTATCCCTGAGAGAGACATAATTTATATTTTTTTATTATAATACCTCATGTCATTGCCTCAGTCTTTCCTCCACTTGTCTCACTCTATTTGCTGTGTTGTTTGTACACTGCATTACATTAGAGCCTGACTTAGTAAACAGTCATGCATGTGCTGCTCAACTAAACATACAAAAGCAGTTCCTCCAACTCCTGTGGGACTACTCACATTGAGCAAACTATGCTTATTAGTGATGAGCAGATACGCACTGGAACAACTCCACTTCTCTGTTCATGATCCAAATCTGGCAGCTCCCACTTGGTACAGAATTTCACACAACAAATCTCTAGTACAGCCTTTTGAGTCTATTGTACAAGTAACAGTCTAATATAGGATATAAATAAAACTGCTGCTGAAGATTTTGGATAGTGACATCACCAGGAACTGTGCATAGCTTGCAGTACCTGTATCAGACAAACTCAATCACTATCAAATATCCATTCTGCTAGGACTATGCTAGCAGGACACATAAAAGAACTCCTCTGAAGAAATCTGGATTTATTTATGCCCTGATGGGCATCTGTTGAATTATAGTGTCTTGGACTAGAGGGTTGATAGACCAACTTGAGTTTCTGTTATATCTGATTTATTGTTAAACAGACATAAGAATATTTATTTGGAGCCCAAAAGAGCTTCACTATTTTTTCTGCATGTAAAAGCACTCCTGAGATGGACCATTTTGCCATAAAGCTGTGACAGAACTGAAAAAAGAGTATTTTAATATGTCACATAATGCTCAAAGAATAAACACTGAATATTTTAAAAAGTGTTCGTAAGCACTGCTGATAGTTTTATTTTTTGGTACAAATTCTGTCTTTAAGACCAGTAGGAAACAAGAAGATGGAATGCAATGTTTTCACTAAAATAATCCGCTGTAACAATTGCAATTACATTGATAACGTGATACTATAAATAAAGTTCCTGTTGTTTGGGGTTTTTTAAAATTTATTTTAGATAAAATAAATAACTGCATTACTTAAAAATAAATAAAATTAATATTTTTCTGATTCAAAGATATTCCCAATAAAGTTGGCAAGTACTGTAAGCATTACATTTTCCAGTTTACATAATTCCAAATGAACAAAACAGCCACAAACCCAAGACCATTATCAATATATATGTATTACTAAAACCAAAACCAAACATACCATTGGGTAGCAGAGCTGCAGTATTATCTTGATCAATTTTTGTGTTATAGGTAAGTGCGTAGCATGAACCTTTAATAGTAAAGCAGAACACCATGAAATTAGAGAGTCTCTAAAGACAGACATGACAATATGAACAATTCATCTCAAGCTAGTAAAACATGTCAAATACCATCTGAATCACTCTAACGCTTGTGTCATCATCAACTAACTTTCTTCTGTCTTGGATAGGCACTATTTTAAAGGACCTTTAATATAGATAACATTAACAATATGCCTCAATACAAACACTTTTTCTTTCCAGCTGCAACCCTCCCCACTCAGTAAATAGAAAACCCTGTATTTTTCTAGCATTAGTTCACTTGAAGACAAGGTGGAAGACACTCATATTACTATATATATTTTGTAGCATCATCTGCCACAAATGATTTTGTTCTTAAAAATATAAGAGTCAGATCCTGTAAACTTGGTGTACAAGTGTCATACTACTTCAATAAAACTACTGGCATAAAAGCCCTTATCGAGACTAAAGGAAATACAAGAAAATCCCACATTTTGAACATAACAGATCTCATTCTCCAGTTTCTTCTTTTCTGTTCTCTTTTCTCTTCTCTTTTCCCTTTCAAGCTTTTTTCCCCTCTGAAAATCACCGAAAAGGTACGACACGTACCACGAACCAAACAAGCAGGGTCTGCTTGCTGAAAACCACATGCACCAAGTATGCAATAACAAGTTGCTGGATAGAGGCTGCATCTTTCTTCATATCCTCTTGGCTCTTACATCCCATAAAGGACAAGCCACCACAGCTCCATTAGCAAACACCACTCCCCCCAACTCTGAAACAACGTATTTTTTTCCTCTTTTTGTCTTGCCTGCTGCAGAACACAGCTAACAGCTCTGTGTTGAAATATAAAGGAGTCAGAAAGGGAGAAGGGAGCTGATTTCTGCAGGAATCTGCATGAAGATGAGACGTAGAACATAAATGAGGAGTATAAATTGAAGCCCTCTTGACAGCTGTCTTCCAGAATTAACATGGAATAGGGGGAAATGAAGAGAGAACAGCTGCAGAAGTTTTGGACCTACTGGGTGTAAAGTAATGTTGACGCACCAGAAAGCAGAAAAAGAGCAGATGTCATCTTCTGATTAGCTCCTTACCTTTCTTCACAAAAGCATCAATGAATTCGTGAGCAACCAATTCATGAACTGATAAATTCCTCACCAGGCAGTACTCTCCAACATCTGCAATAGTACTTTTCAGCACTTCAGGCAGTATGCCACATTCAGGGATCAAAAAAGACACCTATGAGGAACATATTTGTAATGCACATTATACCCTAAAATCTGTTCTGGAAGAAAACTATTTAAAAAAAAAAAAAATTCTTCAAGGAAATCAGTCTATTACACCAAAGTGAGACAAAAGAAATCATAATTTCAAACTATTGTTTTCAAAATGTATCAATTTACAGAAAGTCTCCAAGTACAGCAAAGACATTACTTGGTTGTTGCATTTTACATGCAATACAACAGCATTTGAGGTGTTACATTAAGGCATGATTTTACACAGCATGACTTAAGGAACGAATTTGTTTCACGTCACTCTCAGTTTAGCTTGAAGTCACACTAAAACATTTCCTTCAGGCCCTGCTGCAAGAAGCAGTTATAGCTAAAAGTATAGGCAAAGCATGTATTCAATCCCAGTGGAAATGCAAAGACCAAAGCAGAATTTAAACTAGTTTTTGAATCAATGCATTCTCCTCTTTAGAATATTTTGGAGACCAGGACTGAGCAGACCATCAGAACAAAACTTGAAGATACGCTTATGATCCTCAAAGAAGTCATAAGGCGTACATTAAGGCAACATTTCTGTAGCAGGTTTCCAATTTAAGGTAGGAAACATTTTCACATTAACCTAGCTTTTCTTAATCAACTCAGCATTCACTCTTCTGGTCCAATTACCTACCTTTAATTTTGCTTTTTTTTTTTTTTGTTTAAAACCTTTCCTGCATGCGTTTCACAGATCAAGAGAACTTCTAATCCTGGGAGACCAGGGCAAACAAGGTTATTACATGGGCAAGCACCAACCTGCCCAACAACCACGCTTAAGCAGCATAAAGGCTCATTCCCTTGCTCCTTCCCACTCTACCTCTCGTAAAACCTTTTATTTTCTGAAACAAAGAAGCTGACGGAGAACAAATACCCATCACCTCCCTTGGTACACACGGAGAAGAGAAGACACAACCGCCTGCCACAGAAGTAGGAGGCTTTCTAGTCAGCCGCTTGAAAAGCGACTAAGGACACAGCAAGAGGGTCTGGCTGACACGTGCAACAGCAGCTGGCAAAACCTTGGCAACACTTAAGTTGTCCAAAGCACTGGGAGAGCTGCCGATGACAGCACGACACGATACTCTGGCAGACGGAGGGACACGGGAGCCCCTCCGCGCTCGGACTAGGGCTTTGCGGGAGCTGCTCCCGGGCGCTCCCAGCCCAGCAGCACTGACAGACAACCCAGGGTGGCCCCGCTCCT